CAAATTAGAAATTTTAGCCATTCTAATGGTATAGGAACAGTAAACAAATTGTTTTTTTCTTTTTTCAAAAGCAGAATTTAAAGGTGGAAAGAAGGAAAAGAATCACGGAAATATTTATGGAAAATGCTTGATAGTTTTTTAGAGGACAGACCACTAATGTTTTCGAGTTACCAACGAATAGATATTTGACAAAACAACAGTTGGAAAGTGATCATTAATTCTTAAATTTTACAACCAATCAAATTTTATATGGCATCTAAATTGTAAGAAAGAATTTGTAAAAAAAAATTGAATAGTTGGACTATTTGAAACCGTCCGTTAGCAGTTGCAGTAATGCTACGTTGTTTTCGTACAATCAAATTGTAAAAATCAACACTTTCTGCTGACTTGTCTTACGCTTTGGGAAAAATAAACCTCAGATTGCTGTGGCAAACGTCAGAACTTTGAGTTCAAAGTCTAAAATTCATTTCAACTAATGGATTAATTGTAAGAGCTTAAGAGCTATCATTAGGTTTCTGTAATATCTACTTTTTTTTCCCTCAATTGTTTTCTTGTTTTATGAACTTTGCATTTGTCTACTTGTTTAATAGAACATTTTGCTGTATGTGAGGTTCAAACAGGGGAAAAATACGAAGATTTGAGTTGATATTAGAATGTACAACAATTTACAAATTTATACAGACATATATCGACGTAATGATAGGCGCTCTAATATTGCACACTTCTATATCGGCATGATTAGTTAAACCTTTGATATTGACAGTTCAATTAATTTCAGCAATTATGAGCACATTAGTTTCTAAAAGTTTTTGAAATGTGGTTTGTTAAGTTTTACTGACAATTATATTCGATAACTGGCTAAGGTAGTTTTAAGCTTTCCATGTGACTTCCTGTGACTGTCACATGGCAGTTGTCGTAAACAAGGTAATTTAGTTGTAGCATTTAATGTTCAAGCAACTTAATTGGACCTAAATATCTTTGATTATCAGAGCAATCTATTAGACAGACATATTTGAACATTAAATTGAAAATTTGAGCATTTGAGCATTAAACATATTAGCCGAAGTGATAACGTGTGCAAACTTTGAGCTCCAATTCTGTAGACCCATAGTTTTACCTGACGTCGCTAATGGCATATTTAGGTGTCACTTGTTCAACTCGACACTTTCTGACTTATTGAAGGCTGTCTAAGTTTTTGATGGATCAGTAAAGAGAACTGCTGGCACAGTTTAGCTGTTGTTGGCACAGCTTAATATGTCATACAACAAAAACAATGCTCATCTTTCCTACTAAACAAATTTCGTTTGTTATATTTTTTCATACACTTTACAACGTTTTGGATCATAATTTACTACAAGTATTAGAAATTTGCTATTGCTGCCTTACTGGTAAAAGATTAACCACCTTCAGTTCTATAGTTTCCAGGAAAAGAAGAAAGAAAGAGAGAAAAAACTTTTTTGTTACATATAAACTATGCTTAGCAGAGCTATCAAAACACAAATATCTATAATAAATTTTCGGATAAAGCAAAAAATCAGTTTATTTATACTAGTTTTTTTTTTTTTTTT